GGATGGAAGCACCTCATTGAAGATTCCTGACCAGCCTATGTTAGGATTCCATGACTCTGAGAAGGCGGGCAGTACCCCTAATGAGATCTTTCCTATGGTGATTACCACCACAATCGAGCAATTTGATGTCTCTTAGATCCTAATTGATAGTGGAAGCTCTTTCAAAATAATATACTCCAATATGTTTGAAAATATGGGCCTCGAAAGATGAAGTTTATGGTCGTATAAAGGCTCAAACTTACAGGCACTCAAAGGGACAAACGCCCGTCCTTAGGGGTTTGTAGAGATGATGTTATCAGTAGGTGAAGGAAAGGACATTCGAGCGGTTAATTCAAAATTCATCATTGTCCCTTGCAGGAGCGTCTACAGTTGCATTTCAGGAAGAATCTTCGCAACCACGTTGGAAGTTGTAGCTTCATCGGTCCACCTCAAGCTTAAGTACCATAATCTGCAGGGAGAACCTCCCATCATTAACGCTTATCTCGAAAGGGAAAAAAGAATTTATCAATATGTTTATATCTAATGCAAGTCAATTACAAGATAACTAAAATCATTTTAAACAAAATGATTTGAAAACACTTTACATAGAAATCCATTTAAGACATAATTGGATTTATGATGATTCAATATGTTTGATGCATCACAAACCTAAGCTTACACATTAAATTGCTATAAGCTAGATCCAACTTAAGTAATATACAAACGGTGGAATAATGCAATAGCTATAGTATTGAATGTTGAAAATTAAAGGAGATAAGGGAAGAAATAAAAGATACACAGAGATATATAGTAGTTCGGTGTTCGTCCTCAATTTACCTACTCCACTCTTCAATGGTGCTAAAACCATTGGGAAATAATCATGATCTTCCACTATTTGATAAGTTTGATACAAGAATTTTGATTACAATAAAATATCACATGATAATTTCCTTTGTTGGTTCAGGAAGAAGCAGAATTATGTCTTTTTATCTACTACTGAAGTTGAATATATTACTACTGGAAGCAGTTGTACTCAATTGCTCTAGATGAAACAGATGCTAAAAGAATACAATGTCGACTAAGATGTCATGACATTGTATTGTGATAACATGAGCGCGATCAATATCTCAAAGAATCTTGTCCAACGCAATAGAACCAATCATATTGACATACACCATCATTTCATTAGGGATCTTGTGGAGGATAAAGTGGTCAATTTAGAGCATATTGCAACTTACCAACAGTTAGCTGACATATTCACTAAACCTTTAGATGTGGTTCGTTTTGAGCATTTGAGATGTACACTTGGTGTGTGCATATGTGGGGTCCTATAGCAGTCAAAGTCAGGGAAACATGCTAGGAGACCAAGCCAAATACGCTCTGATATTCTCTATGATGCATGTTTATTCAGGGTGATTTACCTGTTTCCAATCACTCCTTATGTCTAGACTTTCAATACTATTAAGAAAAAGGTTCTCCTGGCCTTATTTTCTCTTTGAAATTTACACTTTCCTCTACCTTGCATAAGTGTTTGTTCTTCAACATGAGTCAGAACCAGGAGAAAGCTAAGAAGAATTCCTCTAGTTTGAAGAGAAATGAGGAAACCAAAGAGAAGAAGAACAAGATATTTGGTTCCTTATCTCATGCCAGTGTTAAAGGGCCATTTGATGGACTATCAACTAGAGTAAACTTTATTGGGAAGACTTTAATGACTAGGATGAAGACTGTGAAGAAGGATTTTATGCTAGATAGTGACTCAGATGCAGATGATGATTGGGTCACCTTCATGAACTCAAGAGGATAGACTAAAGACCAAATCTGAGGAGATTTGTCTCCAATAGATTTTGTGTCAGTGTGTTTGTTTTGTAATATGTAAAGGCTTCATAGCATGTTAAGACTGGTGTGCTCAAATTGAAGGCCAATCATTCTAGTTGTTCTTTTATAATATGGTTGTGTATATGTAAGCATACTAACCTTTTCTTGACTATGTTTTAGATGTCAGGTTGAAGACCTTACCATTTGCCAAATCATGGCAAAAAGAAGGAGTGGTGGTGTTGCTTAGGCAACAGATATTTGTTTATTACTAACCCCGTATGGGAAAGTGCTAATGTTGTGTTTCATGTTGAAGCATCGTGCAGGATATTTTGTTATGTTCCTTGTATTTGTGAAAACAGATTTATCTATGTTAGTAGTCATCATTGATATCAACTACTAACTGATTTTGTGAGCATAACTAAGTATGTGAATGATTGAATGTTGATATATGTTAGTTAGTAGTATTGTATGCTACCTGTGAATGATTGCATGATTGTCTATTTTTTTAGCAAAGTAAATGGAATATGTGTAAGCATCTGAACGTTGATGCTTCTGGCTTCTGCTGCCTGTTGGTGCTTAACTCTGATACAAAGAAGTTATTGCTGCTGAAATGCTCTAAAGGTCTAATACATCTACTGAATGTCACTTGTTCTCATGGAAGAAGTGTTATTTATCTTGAAGAGTTGTTTTGCCATAATTTTCCAAAGGGGGAGATTGTTGTTCCTATTGGATAGCCCCTTTAGATTGGTTGCATTTTAGCAAAATAACAACTTGGAGAAGTGTCTAAGTATTCAAGATTGGTCTAGCTTGCTAAAATTGTATGAAGTTGCAAAAAGGACACATGTTGGTGTGATGCTCTAGCATGTTGGTACGACATTTGGGCCTTGTGCAACAGGCGCCAAAATGTTGCATTTTGGAGTGTGTTATGCAGAAGATTTGTTAAAAAAATTTATTGTTATTGATTTAACAATATGATTATGTAATTAGTTTGACAGTTGGGTGAAGATTGATTCAGATTTAAATGAAGATTTAAATTTGAATTTAAATTAAAACAAAAATCATATCTTGTTGGAGATATTCAAGGAGAAAATCAAATATCCAACATATTCTACATTAATTCTGGACAAATTCAAAGATATTATCCAAGAAAAAAAGCTCAAAGTTACTTTGCTATATAAGGAGCTAAAAATTACGTTGGAAGTCAAGCATTCCCATTGAAGGTCTTAGATTGTTAGGGTTTGTGTCGTGTATCCACGCTAATACCCTAATAGGATGATTGTATGATCTTTATGTACACCTCTATGTTTCAGTAACGTGGCATAGATGGTTTGTCTAGTTGAATTGTAATAACATTGTTTTATGTACGCTCTAAGTTTCAGTAACTTGGTATTGAAGGTTTGTTTAGTTTAATTATAATATTCAACATTCTTTATCTTATGAAGATTGAAGTTTATCACTAGAGTTTAGTGGTTGTATATCCTTGTCACTAGGATTGTGGTAGAGAAGAAAGTGAGTATGTTATCATATTTATGGGAAGAATCTAAATATAAAGTCATTAGGTGGGGTTAGGAAGAGGCATTTAACAATATATGATTTGTTATTGCTTGTAAGTATAAATGTACTAAACTAATAATAATGAATTTCCTTTCTTAGGTTGTGGGCTCAACCCTTAAACGTAAGTGTAGTTTCACAGAACTGGGTAAACAATTGATTGTGTTCTTTATTGCTTTTATGCTCCATCGTCTATTACTTGTTCGTGTTATGGTTCTGGTGTATCTTGTTCAAACTGTTGTTGAAGCATCGAGTTCGACATTTGTCCCCTAAGGAACAAAATTCCATGAAAGAATTAAAACTCAAACATGTTTCAATTGAGTTCGGGTTGGTTTCACATATCTCAGCTCTGCCACCATTCGTGTACAAAATTTATTTTTTTAAGTATAAATAGCCTAAATGATACAATCTCATAAAATTTCATACATATACTTCAAATTTTTCAAATAACAAAGTACAAATCAAAATATCAAAGTATTGGTCATACATTTAATATCTCAAATTATCAAAATTAAATATTATAGCACATATTAAAATAAATGGAACAGGTTTTGATAGGTTTAGTGTCTCGATTATCTGATCCATCTTCATATTTTGTAATCGAAAAGAAAAATTAAACTCAATCAAAACGTATTTTTTTTATCAAATTCAGAACAAGTTAGCGTGAATCTTCACGAATATAAATGTTGTCGTGCTTCAACTATATTCACCTTTCAAAGCACTTAACCATTAGATAATGGACCCAGCTTATTTTACATATGAAAAAAATCTTTGAATTTTCGAAACTAATTTTTAGAAAAATATTTTTTAAATATTAAAAAAGTTATCTTTTATAAATTAAAAATTTTATTTTGACATCATATAACATCAATATACAATTTTTTAAAATTTAAAACTTAACTAAAATCACATATTTTTTAAAGAGATATATCTCAAATGATTTTTATGAAAGATTATTTGAAATAATTTTAAATTTTAGTGATTTTTTAATTTTAATACCCAAAAAAATTATAATAAAATGATAAAATACTTAAAATAACATTCTAAGAACAATTTAAACCAAATTTTTATTTAAGACCATTTTAAAAAATTATTAAACAAAAGTACGTAAGACTATCAAAATCATTTTTAATAGTCCTTAACATGGCCAAGTTGTTAGTGTGTTGTCAAAATGTACGCATGTGTCTTCGCCCAAAGAATTAAAGAATTCTTGAAGCCAATTACACGAGTAGGCATATCACTCGCCATCGTAGATTGAAATGGATATTATTACGTGTAAATAAAATGGAGCAATGAAATGGAAATGGAGCAATCAAGCTCTTGATACAATAATGACACTACAAGAAAAAAAATCAGTCATAACAATAATATGTCCAGACAAATTATGTGTGTAAACAAAAACAGCTCACAATAAAAGAACACCAGCAATCTAAAAAGGGGACAGCTCACAATAAAAGAACACCAGCAATCTAAAAAGGGGACTGGCATTTAATTTACATATCACATTCCTTACATTCCATGGAAAATCAAAATTCAAAATTTGTTAAGCTCCCATTACATAAAGAAAACTAGACGCCCATACCATGTTGCTAAGTGTAAGTAGGACATCATGTTGAGATACAAACATGGTCATGTCAAGAGACAGTTCTCACAGTTTAGTCTTCGTCCATGCCAGCAGGTTGCTCTCTCCTGCCAGGTCCCCCAGCCGGTTTAGACATAATAATCTGAAAACGTCAAAATACCAATCCATAAATTTGTGCATATAGGAAAATTGATCAAAATCATGCATACAATGTCAAACAAGATGAATAGTCACTGTCAAAGAAAAACATAGTATACACCATAAACTAGTGTTGGTACCCCCAGGTCAATCGTATTCAGTAAAAAGAAATAGCCATGCCATCAAAGTAACTACAATAATTTACTTCTATCAACTATATTTTGAAGTCGATAATAAAAATATGAATGATTAGGGTAAAAATTCAAGCAAGAATTTTTCGAAAGATAGATTAGGTAGGCAACAATTTATTTTATTGATATGAATGATAGGCTCAAACAGTACACAGGAGTAGAATGAGTCTCCGATGGATAGGTCAAGTAATTTGAGCAGGGACACTTGAAAGAGTTTGAGAACGAGGTCCAAAGTTCAAACCATTTCCCTAACAACAGACATAACATACTATTTCCTTTTACTCTAATTATAAGACTTCTTTCGAAGATTTGTTTGTCCCTAAATATAAGGCCTTCAATAAATTTCTAGATATGCTTATTGCTCTCTTGTTATTAATATTATCAGTTTGTTTATCCCTAACCCTTCCTCACGGTCTCTAAGAACACCAAAACCTACTGCTACAACAAGCTCCAATTAGGGAAGTGCATGTTAGAAGAGGAAGAACCGTAGACACCAAATGGGCTGGCTTAGTTAGGTGAGCTAAAGGTGTTGGTGAAATTGTTTGAGTTTGTTAGCTCTCTAGTAGCAGAAGTAGGATATAAACAGAGGGAGAAAAACGTATTTAATAACCATTAATGCTCAACTGTTTGAGCTTCTGTGCTCAAGAAAAAAATGAGTGATATACTTATTAAGTTGACAATCTGGAATTAAAAGGGAACAATCAAATACTAATTACTTCCAGTGATTACCTGGTCCACCCGTAGAACAGTGCATGCAGCATCAGCAGCATATTTAAGAGCAAAAAGCCTGAGCACATAAAAACAACAATCAAACTTGTCATCAAATGGTATGATGTAAAACAAATATTTCAAATATAAGCAATTGAAAGAAGGATCCTCATTTGTCAAAAGTATCATCAGTAATTGTATGCAAACTTATATGTGACAGCAAGAAAAAGAAACACTTCCAACAACAGAAAGCAAATTAGAAGGAAAGTATTTTACTTAGTCACGTAGAGGTCCCAAACATGTGTTGTTGTGACATCCTTACAAACACCCTCTTCCAAATCAATGCCAACTTTGGAGTTTCCTGATGCATGTTCTGCATAGAGAGAAGATATAATTTCCATTGCATTTAGCCCACCATTCTCAGCCAAAGTTCTAGGAATCATCTCAAAACTTTCAGCGAATTTTGCTATAGCATACTGATCCAATCTGCAGAGCCATTGCAAATCTTTAGTACTTCCCTTTCATGTCTAAATTATCAAGAAGCAATAAACAAATAAAATAAAGTACCTATTTATAAAGGAAAGGAAAAATGATCCAAGCCCAATGTAAGTAATAAAAATCTATAACTTGCAATCAGGTTATGATTTTATAACTTTTAGGACAGGGATGCCATTTATAGACCTTATCACTTGTCAATGTGAGCCTTAAGTTCTCAAACCCATTCTCAATAGTATTGGACTTGAAACGTCGATAATATGGTGGGTGGCCCGACAAATCTAGGATAGTTTCTAATATGATCTTAGTTTTGTGTCAACTCAATCCTACAAAACCGATTCTTAAGGTGGAGTTAGATCTCTTACTAGTATTCCCATTATATTATTAGGCTGCAGTTACTATACTATTAGACCACAGTTGTTATATAATTAGGCAACAGTTATGCATTAAGGGTGCAATTATGTTATTAGAATAGGCGTTACTGGATAAAGAGGAAATTGAAGGAAAAATCAGGGGAATTAATTAGGACTGGATATTGGTTGGGAGAGACCAAGCTCTCGAATTCTTGGAAGGGAGAGACCAAGCTCTCGAATTCTTGGAAGGGAGAGACCCAAGACGCTTGAATATCTTGGGAACATGTGCAATCCTTGTGTAATTCTTGGGAGGGAGAGACCTAAGACTCTTGAATTTCTTGGGAACCCGTGTGTAGTCTTATTCTAATATCAACAAAAGTTAATTTTATTATATGTCTATATTTGGTACCAGCTTCTATCAAATGGTATCAGGGCACTACGATCCAGGGAAATTAATGGTTTTAAGAAGGAGAAAGCAATCACGCATTGTAGCATCCGTGTGTGGTTCAGAAAGTGTTGCTTCCTATGAGGCAAATTCTGGAACAGAATATTGGAAAACAAACTCAGAGCACTTGGAAACCTGAAGACAATTACAATTCTTGGCTGAAATGGTGCACAATATTCCAATATGGAAGAGCATCGGGAACATTTTGAAACACAAAGACAGTTACAAGCCTTTGTGTTCGACACCCATACGACACTACATTTGTCTGACAACTCAGATAAGAGTCCCATGAACAACTTTTTTTTCTTGACTTATACACATCCAAGACCTACTTGAACAAATCTTAGACACATTTTACAAGGCTTAAAATGTACTGAAGCAATAATGCTCAATAATAGAGTTGAAGACGAGCTAGAATCCTCTCCATTTCTTTTAAGAAATGGAAATTCCATAATTAAAGTTTTTGGTGTATAAATGCCTGTATTCTTAGAATGGGTGTCATGAATTTATATACCTTAAACATTAGTAATTGACATCTCTATTTTTTTGAGAAATGGACAGGATCTCTACTCGTTGAAGACGCTCAATTTGATTACATAAATTTTAACTATTTAGTAGTAAATGGATGAATGAAAGGGAAAGACTATCATATCTTGTTTTAATTATCAATTTAGACTTTTTATAAATAATGTTCAGATCTTACTTAATTTAGGCTTTGTATCAATTTAGACTTTTAGAGTGTAACCTAGGTGGCCCTAACTCAATCCAACAAAACTGACTTTTAAGGTAAGGGCTGTCCCCACTCATAACCCCTATTCAGACAATGCTATTATCCGATAGGGGACTCTCAAAGAAAAGTTAAAGGGAAATACAGCTTACCCTGTCTCCTTGAAAGAAAATTCTTTCACCCGCTTAGCTAACTCAATTTCAGTTGCAGCAGCTCCAGGCACAATACGGCTATCCCTGCACATGGCCTGATAAATAGTTGCATAAAATAAAACAAATCAGTATTACTATTTCTAAAAATAAAATCCCTTCAAAAATGTAATCCAAAAAGACGCAGTAACAACCTGCCTGATTGCAGAGGCTATATTTTTAAAAACAATTTTCTAGGGGTTAAGGCACAATACAATCAACTTGGTAAAGCGATAAAAGCATGCGGCATCAGCAATTACCTTGTAAGTGTTCACTCCATCATCAACTGCTCTTTCAATATCATCAAGTATACTATCAGTACTTCCTCTTAAGACAACAGTTGACACAGAATTGCCACCTTCTTCATTTTTAACAACGGTAACCTGCATCATTATACCAAAAAATTAGACGGAAAACCACATGCAACACTGAAAATGGGAAATTACTATCGGAGTAAAGGAGACACACGAACAATGAACCAAGAATGTAACAAAAACCAGACAATCATTTTAGCATACCCTTGCACCACCAATTTCCTCAACTGAAATAGAATCGACATATCCAAGATCATCTGGATTTGGTTGACTAAGCTTCAACTGTTGCAGGGAAACATAATAAATTAGAAAGGTACAGTAAAAGAAGATTCTCTAAGAAATGAAAGATAAAAATACACACCATAGCAACAGCACCGGTTGTACGGCAAAATCGACGCAGTTCAAACTTAGAACTGATTTTCAGAACCATAAGCCTGCAAGCATGAATTTTGAGTAAGAAAACCATACACATAGCTTCATAGCATGACTTCAATATTCAAATTGAAACTGATGGTTTCATAGTTAATTCTTTGATCTACTCTAGCATGAGGCAATTAAAAAGCACCAAATTACGAGAAAATCCACTCACTTATAACGCTCACAAAAATGTAAAGCCATCTCTCCTACTGCCCCTCCGCTTACAACCACTTTGGCACCAGAATCAACTACTGCCTTGATGAGCTCCTCTACTTTAGCCTCCTCAGTTTTTGAATAATTCTCTAGCTATAGAAACCAAAAATTCAAAAACAAGAGCATTAAGCACAAAAGTCATTGTAGTTGTTAAAAAACAAAAGTAAATAGTCCATGAACTACAAAACGAAAATCACGTTCATCAGATAATAACGGTATTAGAATCAATAAAATAGTTGTTGTCAGTGTTAGAAGTTTAAATTAAAATACCAAAATAATTTCCAAATAAAAACTCTACCAATGACAGATTTGCACAGCAGATTAGATTTAATAATCAATGCATCTATTTTCATGGTTTTTCTTTTCGCTCTATCTTCCACTGATATCAGCTTTGAACCCATTCCTCCCCTTCCCCTCCCTCACCATCTCCTTCTCCCTTGTCCCCTCCAAACACTGTCATTCTTAAATTCCTCTAGTACATTTATCCAATGTTGGTCGGGGTTGTTTCGGTTTGGTGAGTCTTTTCTGGGGGAATCTAGAGATGAAGAGACGGTGTGATTGTTATTCAAGCCTTCTTTGGTGTGCATAGTCCATCATAACCAATGATTGAAATGCACTGCCAACAAGCATGTCCAACAGCAAAATTTGGGAAATTGAGTTTTTCTTCTCTACTTATTGGTGGCAATGGAAATGAAAGATGAATTTGATTTGATGCAATAGGAAGTAGATAGAGGTGAGTGTCTGGTTGGCTACTGAATGACATTCAAGAGGCCTACTGCCCCAGATTTTATCATCAATTTTTTTTCCAGTATACTGGATGAGCAATCATTGCATCCTACAACTGAATCCCTTTTCAAATTTCCTTTTATGAGGATAGGGGAATGAACCTCTATCTTGTTTACACTTAGACCTTAAAAATATTAAAATATAATAAAACAGAATAAAAATTAGTATCAAAAAAAGTCATTTGACATACCTGCTCAGCTGAATGTATGAGAACAGTTCCTTTAGTTTCAGTTGCAGATGTATCAACTCCACCCGCAAACACAGCAACCTAAAAGAGCATTGACAAGAGACCTCAGTACTAGACACGGTATGAAGATCTGTAATAACATTTTATAATGGGGGAAAATTCTTATAAAAATGAAACAAATATAGTAACAAATCATGCTTCTTGTCTTCTAGATGTTCTGACAAAAAAAACCAAGGAGTATATGGATTCGACCAAAAGCAAGAGAGAACAAATAACTCTTCTTTAAGATTACTTCAGCATCAAGCTGAATTACAAAATCTCAACATGGTATGTGCCCTTTGAAAAAATGAACCAAAGCAAAATCATAAAAAGAAGTCTTTAATAAGCCAAGCAGGCACATGGTACATGTAATATAATAATAATAATAATAATAATAATAATAATAATAATAATAATAATAATAATAATAATAATAATAAAAATAATAATAATAATAATGTATAATGATAGCAAATGCTTCTTCAGGACCTAAACTCATTAAACAGACATGCTGAGAAATTCGGGTTATCTATAGTAATGGAAGCAAACACAAATCATAGTCTAAAAAGTAACATTCATGCATCAATTTGCTAAAATGGCAGCACCACTAAAAAATGACACTCAAACTAATATTTATTCAGTTGTTCTACCTCCTATACTGTGCTACTTTTATCGTCAGGCCCTTTATTTACCATTTATTTGTAAGGATATATCATTAGCTGGGAGAATGTATTGGGCAAATAAAATATATTAGAACCAAGAGTACAGCCTTGATAATCAAACCATATGCAAAATTAAAAGTATAGCCTCCACACAAATTAAATTTTTTAAATAATGAACTTCTGAAAATCACACTAAGGCTTATCATGTGTCTTACAAAGTTGTGACGAATATCAACCAATAAACAACATAGTAAGACTCTCCAATGAAACCCCAAAAGCCCCAAATATAAAGAAAACTAACCTTTGTCTTTTCCATTCTCTTTATACTACCAACAGCATCATTTCTCAGAACCATTCCCCGAACAACTGTACTGTTACGCAGGCCTCCTCCCAAGAGTTTTGCAACACGAACATTGTCCACATTAAAGTTTACAGGATTTTTTGGACACACTTGGATGCATGCCTAAATTTTCCAAACAAAAAAATGTCAAGTGTCGTGCCTGCAGAGTATGTTGTAATCATAGTAAAACTGGGTGATGAGGATATACTCACATCAGCAACAAGGGAGCATATAGTATCTTCTTGACCGAATTGCTTGCTGGCAACAGCTGCTTTCATTCGAGAAACAACTTGCTCCTTATCACGGACATCCATATTGTCTGAACCTTCCTCAACAAGTTCGTCCAATATTTCAACAGTCTGAAGTAGGAAAGGGACTCAGAGAGAGAAAAAGTATGGCATTTAAAGATAAATCATTAAACCATGTTGGATAGAGGAGTTTGAAAGAGACAGATAAAGGAAGCTCAACCTTTTGTTCTGCATAAGCATTGTCCATATTTGAGACCTTTTTGTTCAAATTCAAAATTGAAAGAATTTATAACAGAGATTAATGTGTTATTTTTCAATAACCCCTTGTTTATCTTCATTAACATTTTATAACTCTCTCAATTTAAAAACAGAAAGTATCTATTTCTCTCCAAATCCATCCATAAAAAATATTTTGATATCTATGCATCTAAAGGAAAGTGTAATAAAATTGAACTCAATAAATTTATTGTACCATTGTTTGAATAATTTTTTGAACTGAACAAAAACAAGTTCCATCCCATATCTCCAAAACAAATTAACGGGATGCAAGATAGTATCGAATGGGGTTGTATATGTCCTCATATTTCATTTCATCCTATTTTATTTTAAACAATCCAAATCACATGAAACTAATAACCAGTGTCTTCAAATAGCAGAGATAGCATCCTTATAGTGCTATAGAGTAACAACATTTTAACAAACCATTATCGCGATGCAATAGGCGGGGTAGTATAAAGTATAAACAATTAGCAGCTAAGTTAAACAAACTGCTATTTTCAGCGATCTGCAATTGACAACACTGATAATGACATCATTTCATTTAATTCCATTTAGGATCAAAATCCAAACAACAAGAATCTAACAAACCTTATTAATAGCTTTGGTATATCCACTAATAATCTCACTAGGATGCAAACCCATCCTAATAAGCTCCTCGGCACCATGAAGCAACTCGCCGGCAAAAGAAATAGTCAAATTAGCACCATCACCAATCTCCTCCTGTTGCGCCTTACTAGCCAACACCAAAATCTTAGCAGCAGGATGTTGAACTTCAAGTTCATTCACAATCGTAGCAGCATCATTCGTCACAAAAAGTTTATCCAAATGATTTATAACCATCTTATTCATCCCTAATCACAACATAAACAACAAATCAAACTAGATCAGAAACAAAAACTTCACCAAATCTAAAGATGAATGCGATAATGTGATGTTAGGTTAGATTAGGTTACCGTTGGGGCCGAGGGAAGTGCGGGTGATGGTGGAGAGTTGGTTACAGGCGTCGATGTTTTTGAGAACGGCTTCGTCGAGACCGGAGAGATGCTTGTGACCTTCTTTGAGCATGGATTGCATCCCGTAGGATTGAGAGTTGAAACCTACCATGGTGGCTGCGATTTGTGCTGTGTGTGAGAGAGGGATGAGAAGTTTGAAACGCTGTAGTTATGGTGTGTGTATACCTAAAGCCGCGAAATGAGTGAGTAGAGAGTAGTGTGTTAAGGTTCGACTAGAGAACTTTGAGAGCCCTAGAAGGCTCGGGTTTGGGAGGATTTTTACTTTTTAGTGCAAATTTTACGAGTGTGATTCATTTTTACAATGTAAGAAAAGAATTCCATTTTTAAATATAGTAAGTATCTGATTAAATTATGCTGCTCTGTCAGAAATTATATTTGATTTTAACTTGAAAAAACTTCTTTTATTTTATATTCTTATATGTAAGTTTAGGATATTAATGATATATTCATATTTTTATTATATATTTTATTATTTTGTTTTTTATAATTAATTTAATTTCTTTTTTCTTCTGATTTCACTCTTTAATATTATTCATAAAAAAAAATTATAAAATAACATAGGATAATTTCTTTTAAATTATGAATTGATTGAAGCCATATTTTATTCCGGACCTCTTAAATTTTAACATAAAAAAGTTTGCGTCTTTCTTAAATTTATTTTAGTCCATCATCTCAAATTTTTATTATCAATCACAAAAATCTTATAAAAATGTTTTTCCAAATGCAAGAGCATTAAGTGGTTACTATGTAAAGAAATATGTTAGGAGAATACGAAGTTAAAATTGATTTTTTATTAAATATTCATTTTACGAATAAAATAATTAATATTTGTATTGAGTTTACTATTTCTTTTTGTTTACATTTTGTTTTTTTTATTAAAAATGTTTTGCGTCATTTCAAAAAAAAAAAAAAAAATTCATAAAGTAATAACAATATTATAAATTCTTTATGACAATGACAGAATCATAAGGAATAATATCACACAATCAGTTAGATAAACAATAATTAAAAGTGTTTTACCATAAAATGATTTTGCAATAAACATTCTGAAAAAAAATTGAGTAAGTTCACTAAATAATTTTTTTTTCTACAACACCATTTTTGTCATGGAATATCAATAAGTATGAAGTAATCGATGATGTCTTATTTACTAGTAGGGGTGATAAAATGGACAGTTCGTCTCGTTTAAATCTGTCTAAAAGTGGGGCGAGTCAACGCATCTAAACTCAAAAGTTAAACATGTCATGTTTACTAACGAGTTGGCGGGTTGGCGGGTCGGCCCACTAATTTTTTCTTTTACAATTTGATTTACTACATAATTTACAAAAAAAAATATTTATTATCAAAGAGGTCGACAAAAGATTTTTTTAAGAATGCATAATAGAACTTCAACATATCTTAAGTCCAAACACTTCAAAAAATAAAATAAATAAAGACCAATTACAAGAAAAAAAACTCAAACACATTAAAAAACGTATCAAAATAAATAAACAATACATATCATCCTAATCTTATTTAAAAACTAAATACTAAAAGAACCCAATTAAAATTTTACAAGACAAACAATGATAACGATTATATTGCATAAAACATCACAGTGCATAAAATAGTATTGCATAAAATATCAACACTTGACTTTCTCACTGGTTACATCATATAGATTCTTATATTGATTGATTCCTTAATAGTTAAATTCTAAATTTGTCACGCGTATACACTAATCAAATCCTTCATTTTCTTAAAATCAACATCTATTTCTAAAGAAAAAATGTGAGCTAATGTTTGACAACTTAATAATTCAGTATGACATATCATTGTTCTTTTATTTTAAATTTTTCCAATCAACACTAGAAAGTTATAGAAACAACGTTACAATTATATTTCATTTTATTTGTATAATAATTTATAATACAATTCAATCAACATAAACCTAAGAGAAAAATGTCATTTTATAGTTAAATCTTTTTAAGGCTTAATTGCAACTTTGGTCCCCCTATTTTGTATTTTTTTTTTGTTTTGATCCCCCATTTTAAAAACTACAATTTTGGTCTTTTTTTAGGTTTCGAGATTGATATTAGTCCCCTTGCCATTTTAAGTCATGTTTTTAATGATGTGGCGCGTTGAATGATGATGTGGCATTTCCATATCATTTAAAATGGTCTTATTAATTTTAATATCATTTCCATATCATTTAGATTTTTTTTATTTCATTTTCAGAAAATTAATAAAACCTAAATATAATTAAAAAGGGTTAACAAATCTAGAAACCATATTTTTTATAGGAAAATATATGTTTATTTATTTATTTTAAAAAGGAATGAAAGGGGGATGATTACAACATAAAGGCACTCACGTTGGGAATCAACATCAGAAATCCATGGGCTTGAACCTAACCTGAAACCTGGCCAGGTTGACCCTTTTCCCCAATGACAACTCCATCATATTTACAAGATAAAACAACAAGATATTAAAGTTTTAAAACAGCACTTTGAGATTAAAACAAGCAGCCTCATATTTCCAAAACAATGAAAAATAACTGACGCCGTCAATGAGCTCCGACAGCCACACAAACCTTCTCCTTTGAATGCTTCTAGGTTGTTTTTTTAGTTTCTTTTCAGTGAGTTTGTGTTTAGGTTTTGATTTAAGGTGATAGAAGGAGGTATGGGCATGAGTTGTTAATGGTTGAGAGGTTGGGTTTAATGGAAGAAAGAGGGTTGGTGATGAAGGTTGAGGAAGATGGGATTTCAGAAGGTTGGAAGTTTTGGCGGCAGAGATCTGGGGGAAGGTGGGTTTCGTTGTGGTTGATGAAGAACGTGTTTAGGTCGTGGCGGAAGGAGATGATCGGAGGAGGAATGGGGCGGAGATTGTAGAAGAAAGGGAGAAGAGGTTGAGATGGGTTTTCTGTGTGGATTGAGGAAGGGTGAGTTGGGCGAAATGTGAAGTTGGAAGACGGTTGAGAGAAGATTGATGGAAGAAGTGGAGGTCGGTTTCGATGGTGTTGTGCGGTGGAAATCTGGGTTGTTTTTGTTCTAGGCTGAAGGCAAATGAACCGTAAAAAATGAGGAGGTTGCCTAGGATTTCTCGGTCTGCTTTTAGGAAGAAGAAAGTCTACAGTGCTCTTATACTGCAGAAAGATGACATGTGGCATTTCTTTACATTTAGGTTTTATTAATTTTCTGAAAATGAAATAAAAAAACCTAAATGATATTAAAATTAATAAGACCATTTTAAATGACATGGAAATGCCACATCATCATTCAACGCGTCACATCATTAAAAACATGACTTAAAATGGCAAGGGCACTAATATCAATCTCAAAACCTTAAAAAGGGACCAAAATCGTGGTTTTTAAAATGGGGGGATCAAAACCTAAAAAAACACAAAATAGGGGAACCAAAGTTGCAATTAAGCCTTTTTTTAATTCTAAGTAAAAAAATAAAAAGTTTTAACAAAAAGCTCGTGGAAAAAACACGCTTCGTCCTGCCGGGTTAGGCGGGACGGGTCAACTTAAAGTACCGAGCCGAAAACCTCAGTTCAGCCTGTCAAAAATAGCAGGTCAAACGAGTCGACCTGACAGGTTCGACCCGTTTTGCCACCCTTATTTACTAGTAAGTTTAGAAAGATTATGTTTGTTATATTTTTATTCAATGTTAGAACATAGTAAATACCTTTTCAAAGTTGTGTTCGTACCATATTGTAGAATTGAATAAATAATAGAGGTATTTTTGATTTATTTTTCATCCAAAAAAATCAAAGTTATTCGAGAACAATTATTAATAAAGGAAACGAATGATCTCGCACTAAAAATATTAGAAATGGGGCATATCTTAAAACATTTAAACAGATAATGTCAAATAGTTTAACACTTTTAGCAAAGCTCAAATGAAAAATAGTTCGATATTGTTTAGAAATTTGATAAATATTACATTTAAAAGATTCAACATTTTGTTTTAAAACAAAGATGGACACATATACTTCAATAATAGAAAAATAGAATGACAAAGACGTTTGTGTAGATGTCATATTTGTGTGGGGAAAAAAATAAAACTGCTGAAGTCATATTTGTGAGAAAAAAATGAAACTTTGACTGTGACTAAAATGTATAAGAGAACATTTTTTTGACAAATTGTGTTTCAGACAAAAAGTATTACTTTCAATGTTCCCAAGTAAACTCAATCATCTCCCCAGTTGTAAGATATAGAAAAATACAATAAATATTAAAAATATTATTGTACAAAGCTTACGAATAGAAAGAAGGTTGTTTGAAATATCAAAAACATTGAATACTGTTGTGAATTGATGCCGTCAAGAACAAATCAAAATAGGGAAATGCTAACCAGTGTACTCAGGGCACTTTTTACAACTTTAAATAGTAAGTTTTTATAAAAGTATGTACAATAATGTGTAATAATGTGCATTGGAAATTGAAGTGTTTGAATTTTTTAAAGAACAATTTCTTAATATGGAATGTTTAAATACCCTAAGGGCTCCACTACGTAAATAATTTAATTGTTTGAAATATGCAAAATTATATTGAATTGTGTTATAGATTTTTTAAATTGAAAATAATAATTATTATATACACAACCCATGGACCCAACCCTACCCAACCCGTAAATATTCGGGTTGATTCGGGTCGGTTTTTAAAGTAGAATTACGGGTTTGATGATAAACCCAACCCATTGAAAGTTGAACGGGTTGGGTAACGGGTTAAGGCGAACCCGGTCCAACCCAACCCGCGTACACCCCTACATACCATAGTGCATATCAAGCATGTGGTTTTGCAAAGGAGGTCAAAGAAGGATTTTTGCTAAAAAAACAAGTGTTAAGATTGCTTCAGTGGCTATTCATTCATAATCCAATTTAAGAGGAAGTTTGACCTAATTTGAATCAAATATGCTAAAGATGTTGATTCACTCACGTGTTTCTTTATCATGGGCCCTTTTGAAGTTAAGTTTTATTTAGAAATTCTTAAGTGATTAAGCTTTGCTTTCAATTAAGGTTTGGTCCAATACCAGATGCCTATGACCTAAGTGACCTAATGTTCAAGTTTGTATTATGTTGCACCCCAAATTTTGGCCCATTAGATT